CCACTGAACTGATTCACTTCTTTGAGTTGAAATGCCAATAACTCATTAAATTAAGTTGAAATTTCATAACTTATTATGTTAATTGGAAGTAACTTATAGAAAAACGTTAAGATAACTAATTGAGGGCATGACTTTTAACAGTGTACAGTTTCACAATCCAGCAAATCAGGCTAAAAAAAACTTACTAAAATTTCTGTTTTATTGACTTTAAAGTAAGAAAGGAGTACAGGAAAAGATAAAGTTGATTCTATGTTCTGTCCACACCAAAATCAAAGATGACTGAAAAATTCAAACTTAATGTTATCTTGAAAGTTGGCTGTCATGAAAAGAACAAAACCATAAAATTATTTTAGATATTTTGGGGCCAAATGTTAAAGAGGGCGAGATTTGAGTTTGACACTTAATTTACAAAAATTAGGTAAAAATGTGAGGTTCTAGTTTTTAATGACCTGTTACATATTTACTGTTCTGACATCTGTAGGAATCTTTATGACACGGTGGAGCAGTGGTTAGACCTGTGGCCTCACAGGAAGAAGGTTTCAGGTTTGCTTCCTGCCTGGAGTCTTTCTGTGTGTGTTTCTAACACCTCCTCACTTCTTTAGGTCACCATGACGCAGCTTCTCCTCCTGTGTCTGCTCCTCTTCTCTGGAGGTCAGARGTCATCGGCATGCCCCGGCCCCTGCTCCTGTGCGGGCAGCCAGGTGAACTGCAGCAGCAGGTCGCTCACCTCCGCGCCCACTGGCTTCCCTGCAGAGACCACCCAAATCCTCCTCCACGACAACCTGCTGACCTCCCTCCCCAACGGGCTCCTGGACCACCTGGCCTCCCTGCGCCACGTCTCCCTGCACGGTAACCCCTGGGTGTGCGACTGCGGCGTCCTCTACCTGCGCTCCCTGCTCAGGCGTCACTCCCTCCTCGTGGCGTCCCACCCGGGGGTCAACTGCAGCTCCCCCGCCGGTCTGAGGGGCCGGCTGGTGGCRTACCTGACAGAGGAGGAGGTGCTGGACTCCTGCCAGTACTGGTACTGTGACCTGGCCCTGGCCTCGGTGCTGTCCCTCTTTGTGTTCGTGGGGTTTCAGGCGGGTCTGCTGGTGGCCGTCATCATCTTCCTGAAGAGGTTTGAGCGGCTCTCCAAGGAGGCGAAACGGACCACAGAGGAGAGCTTCACGGCCGGGGACAATCACAGAGAGAATGATTACGAGCGTTTGAAGGACAGCAGCATCTGAGCTGGTAATCCTGTCTTTACTGTAGAATAAAATCTGTTTAACAAAGAGATTTACCGTGCAGATTATATAAATCATATTAAAAAACAACTAGATATAAATCCAATGGGAACATTCTGGACTGTAAAGCTTTGAGTGGGATCTAAACCTTTATAAAACTCATAGTTTTTTGTTATGTGTGATTAAATAGCCTACTATAAATGTTTTTACACTTAGCAGAGAAACTATATGAATATATATTTGATTTATAACATACATATCTGATTCAAAAACGCTTCTTGGATGTGATTATTATAGAGAACAATTACTTATTTTTTTCTTCAATAAATTAACAAAATGTCGAATATGTGTTTGATAACGTTTCTTTTGTTAAAAATCTAATAAAAATGAGTTCATCAAATTGTGAGCCTGAATCTGCTTATTTTTATTAAATAGAGCTGTTTTAGTTTTTTGCTTTTTAAGTTTGTAGATTTAGACAATTTTTTCTCAGTTACCAGAGTTGTAATGTAAGTACAAATACTTTGTTACAGTACGTTTGGTTATCTGTACATTACTTGAGTAATTATTTTTCAGCCTCCTTTTTTACTTCTACTTCTTCTTCTTACATTTTAAAAAAGGGTAGAAAGTCGTTTCTCCTATTTCATTTCAGATAGTTATTGTTAAAAAAAACTATCCTGAAAAATTGTGGTTCCGGTATTGAATTTAATTGTGGTTGGATGAGAAGTATAAATACACACCATTCTGATACTGTATTTAGTTTGTACATAATCCATCAAAGCTGCATCCCTTTACCTTTATTGCATCCCAATAAATTTATTTTGGAAAATCTAACTGTTCATTTTTACTCAGTACTTTTACTTTTATTACTTAAGTACATTTTATGTAGGAATTTACTTTTGATACTTAAGTACAAAACAAATCAGATACTTTAATACTTTTACTCAAGTAATACTCTTAGAGAAGACTTTAAATTTTACCAAAGTAATTTTATAAGATACTTGTACTTTTACTCAAGTATCACTTTCAGGTACTTTATACAACACTGTCAGTTACATATTAGTTTTTTTTAACACATACTGTACGTTGT